CGAAACGTTTGAGAATGTATCAAGTCCACTGTCAGATGCTGGGAATCATGACAACTACTATGGCACACGATTTCGGACTAGGTGCGTTCTACCAAGTCGCCCTGACAACAAGACCAAGTTGTGACTTCCATAAATTGAAAGGAGACTGCGACCATAACAGAGGCCACAACATCTTGGTCTTCATATATTCTATTAAAAATAAGTAATATTCATCTTTTTACGTTAATTCCACTATAATATCTGGATTGACCCACGTCTCTTAAGCAATAGCTAAAGAACATTTTGATCCCAAAAAGCTAACGATAACTAACTAGTTCCAGGCGGCAACTTCTCAACTCTTGATTTCAAAGAAGGAATGCAAGAGTTTGGTGATCAGTGCACTCCTGCACCTCTAATTTTTATCGAATGAATAATAAAAGTGCTGTTGGCACAAGGACGGTGAAGTAGAGAGTTTATAATGCCTATTTCCAATGTGATTAGTTTTCTAGACGATTAGTCAGCCTAAATGATTTAAGGATTGATAGCTGAATTTTCCAACAATAAGCTAAGACTAAGTTCATGTTCAAGCATTGCTAATGGTCTCAAATAATACTCATATCGAAAACAAGTAACATCATAGACTGTAATGGCATACACAAATTTGCTTGATCGACTATTCCACCATAAATTCAATTTGGGAATGCCTAGCTTGTCTTAGTGTCACATCTGACCTGTGACACATTAGCACCCGTGGCCATGTAGTCTTGGGAAGTGGTACCATTATCACGAGCCTCATAACCCGGTATCGATTCAAGTTGGGGACGTTGATAGTACCGGCTTAGGTGAGAGGGAAACTTCAGTCTACTCCGGAGGAGATTGCTGATTGAGAGGCAAAACTTAACGAACTTCAATTGCACCCATAAATCGCTTTAAGTGATTGAGGTTGACTAAGTTCTTCGGTCGTTTTGCCCAATTTCGGGCCGACAGAAATACTTCGAGATACAGTTTCGGTGATTATGCTTTAATTGGTCTCGAAGTTGCTAGTACGTTTCCTATTACATGTTAAGCTGCATTAACATCATCACTATTTGGCTATTTTGGGCTTTCGATCCCGGCTGCTTGCATCTGCCTGATTAGGGCTTTAGCACTCCCGTTTAGCTCCTCCAGAAAAGTCCTTTTTAGGGGTCCATTGACTAACCATTTGAGCATCCAAGCCAATGAAGGATTGGTTACGTTTTCCTCTTCTGCGTGTGCCTCTTTAGAGCCTACGTCGTTGTCCAGACCTTCAACCGATTGAGTGTCAAGGCTGAAGAAATCTAGCTGCTCTATTTGGAAGTCATCCAACTGAACATGTTGGATCTTAAATGAAGGTCTTCCATTTGGTTGAACGCCCACCTCCAATTCGGCACTAACCTGAACTGGATGCAATGTCATGTTGAGTCCGATCTGCTCATTATTGGCCTGACCATGTGGTTCGTGCCTCAGTTGTCCGGACATCTGAACGCCTGGTGCTCTAAAGCTTAGACACATGTTCACCTGCAGAAGGTCGACAAGGTCCTCGTTCATGGAAGATGATGCAGTAGCGGACAGAGTTTGCTTTGTGGTTCTCATCGGCATCATTATTTGCTGCTGCTGCTGCTTCCATCGGTAGTCAAGGGGACAAGCTCGACGCATTCGTCCGAGCATAACCAATTTGACCGAATCGAGTTTATGGTACAACGGCAACGCAAAGGCGCCGGGCAAGTGGATGGGACTGGGCAGTCGTGTCAGCAGCACAGCGAGGACTCGGTCGAGTAGCAGCTCAGAGAACCGAGTGCAGCTGGGCTCTACCGAGAGACTGGTCAGGTCGGATTCGGACCAAAGGCATTTGGGGGCCTGAATAGCTGCAGAAAATATAGCATTTCAGCTAAGCGCCTATAAGAGTCCCATCCTGATCATCAAAAGAATCTTTTCCTGGCTTTCCCACTTCTTGTTTGGTCTGGCAAATGCTCATTGCCTGATCTACTATCTAATTAAAGTCAGAAACAGGTCTACTTATTTTGCAGCAGTATTTTGTATGGTGTAAAGATGTGAAAAGGCCTTTGGTATCACAAATAATAGTCGGCATTTACAGCTTCCATTGTACGCTCAAAATTTCATATAATAAAAGGTACTCCTAGTGACTGTAGAGCGAAAATAATTTGTTAAGAATTTCCCACTTCTTGCTTACAAATTGAGGCTTCGTCACCTTTTATGACGTTTCCC